GCTGCAGATGACACAGAAACAATCTTTCTGGCAACAGTTCTGCTTTCTGGCACCTTCTTGTGTCCCTGCATTCTAGTCTGCATCCTCTCCCAACCTCCTTGTACCCACTTGCAACATGAACCAGGACTGAATGAGAGAAGTCAGTAAAGGCGGTCAAATTTTTTTGGTTGAACCCGCTTTTGGACAGAAAATTGGATTGTTGACCAAACATTTTTTTCATGGAAAGTGCTTTCTGAGGAAAATTTTGATTTTTTTTTAAAAAGGTGAAAGTGCCAAAACCAAATGTTTTTGTTGAAAAGTCAAAATTATTCAATTGAGAAATGCAGCTGTGGTAGCTGTAGTTCTGTTACCTCATGTCCTCGTTCTCTATGAGCTGGGTTCCCAGCAGACTTCCTCTCCCATGATGCACTGTGGCCACTGGACTGCCATGAAGTACCATCTCCCATCACCAAGAGACTAGATTATGGCACATCATGAAACTCCCCCCAGGAGAGTGGGAACATAAGGCACTGAAACAACAACAACTCCTCCCATGGCACTCCTATGGTAGTTCATAATTGGAATATTTTGGTGTTTAATTTTTCACCAAAAAACTCTGCTGGGACAGAGTTTCCAATTATGTGGTGTTGGCCAAGGGACACTACAAATTACAGTACATTTTCAAGTTGAGCCACTGTTTCTACAAGTTTAATGGTCATCTTGAAATCTCCTACATCTCTCCTGGTTTCTTTTTCTTTGTGTAATCTGCAATGAAAACTGTCCCCAAACAAACATTCAGCAGACACAACATGCCATGAAATACAGTGATCGCAGCTGAAAACTGTGCTAGACACAAGCAAAGTGCATGACGCTTATTTATGAGCACCACAAAGTACCCTTACAAATGACTACTGAACTCCTGGTTAGAACATTTTAAAACCTACAGTAATTAAAGTTGTAAAAGAGGGAGTCAAATGGTTAGCAGATCACATCATAGTGATCAGGACACAGACCTTACTCTTTATATTTGCTGATAGAAGATTTGCAGAAGTTCAAAATACCACTTGCTGTATTTACTGGTTATTACCTGAGACCTGATTTGGGCAGCTTTCTTAGGATCCACCATGCGGACATGTTCAAAGTGCTTGAGGGTATGCTGTCTGTCCTTCTGCTCTGCACGCACATACTTCTTCAGCATATTGAACACATGGCGAGGCTGGGGAGGAAAAGCAGGAGAAAATTCTGAATTCAACATGCTTTTCTGCTTATCTGCGCACTGGGATATCCTAGATCAGGGCACTTTTAAATCCTGAGACAAAGCACTAAAACAGTCACTCCATACAACCCACCTCCACTGAAAAAGGTGCAACTGCTGGGAAGAACATCCTTTGATCAATATATTACAGGTTATCTATCTGGGCAATGGCTGCATTTAGACAGTGTAGGGGAGTCTTCACCTTCAACAGGTGAGAATTCTATGTGTAACACTTACCTCAAGGCCAGTGCCCACTGACTTGGGCTCAAAGGGGTCAGGCTGCAGGGCCATCTAACTATAGTACAGGCTTCTGGTCTTGGGCTACAGCCTGAACTCTGGGACTCTCTCATTTCTCAACATCCAAGAGCCTGGCCTTTAGCCTATAAGTCTACACTGCAATTAAACAACCACACAGCCTGAGCCCAAGTCAACTGGCACAGGCCAGCCATTGGTATTTCGTTGCAAGGTAAACATACCCCGTAACTGTTTTACTGTGGGTGTTATTTATAAGTAACCATCCTGAACTGTGTGTCAGGAACTGTTTAGTTCACATGCTAAACAAGGCTCACAGGAAACCAGGAGTTTACCTACTTCTACAGCTTCTCTAGGCCAGGCACATAGCAGCCACCAGGATGCTCTGCATTCCTTTACTTCCCTCTCACTGGCTCCGTACGTGCTACCTTCCCATCTCTCTCCATTTCAGGGTCTCCACGCAACTCTTCCCAGTCAGTCCCTTATGTCAAGGGGATTTGTGCCTGGATCACTGGCCCATCTCATGAGAAACATTCAGCATGTCCTTTCCCCACTCCTCTTGAAGCTCCCCATTCTCATCTTTCCCTCAGGTCAGGTTGTATATTCACCCCCCATTCTCCTTTCCCCCAATGCCCTCCCAATTTTCTTCCATTTACCTCTCATGACAGGGTCTCCATAGTCAGTCATTTCTATCCTTTCCTCCCTCCTGCACATCAGCCCCAGACCTCTGTCTCTTTCCTCCCCACCTCCAGTTGACCATTTTCCTACCACCATCCTAGAGGAGTAGAGTAGGAGTAAATTGGAAATAGGATCAGAAGGTGTGAAGAATACTGGGCCAGGTACTCATTTATAGGGATGTGGCCTGCTAAAATTTACTGATGATCTGTATGGTGATGTACAATGTTCAAAAGAGTTAAGAATCACTTTTAGTTTTCAAAAATCTTTAAAAATGAATACGAAAGAAAAAAGCTCTTCTAAGGAAATTTTTAGATGCAAGACTGTTTCCAAAGTCAAATGAAAAGCTTTATTGGCTTTAAGACTGAAATTCAATAGTGATACAAAATCTTGGAATGAAACTTGCCAGCAGATTCCTACTTCAGACAAAGTCCCAAAAAATAAATATCCTTATGAGAACTGTACTAAGGACGTGAACTGAAACATTAACTGTCAAAGGATTACAGAAACAGAGCCTAGAGATGTGAAGGAAGCAGAGGGGGACTTAAAACAATGGTAAAACTTCAAAGAAAGGAAGTGAGATTATCTTTGCTGACATTTCAGTCCTCTTTGCCTCAAGAAGTGTATATGTAATAGGTTAGGGTAGATTAAGAAGACAAACAGATTAATTTCTTTTTCTAGAAGGGACTCTCCATTTAACTTTCATGTTTAATGCCACAGGACACATTTCTTGTTTTCCTTCAACATGCTTTTGTCTACTGTGACGGTCAGGTCTAGGAAAATTTATGACAGCTGGGACAAATATACTAAGAGAGGTCTTATTATTCCTGCAATAAACTTGGAAATCCATTTTAAGGGCCACTTATTCTGCTAGTCCCATTGGAATAACATGGCAACATATTTCAAGTATGAATATTTTTTTTAAAAAGGAGAAAGGCTCAAAACTTATCACTAATACATGACAGATAAGTCATGATCCACAATAGGACCCTTGCCAACAGATGACTCTTGGACATTTGTGCATACAACTTAATTAAAACAAAGACATCAAAGAAACATCCAATGTACAGGTTTTTATACAGTAGTGGCACTTTAGTTTCTTTCCAATGGCGGGAGAAAAATACTTCTTATTCTCACTCTCACATACACATGTGTACAACAAGCCTGCAGGTTTGTTTTTAACTATACTTACCCAAGATAAGAGCTGGGCACCAGGTCCTCTTATGTATTAAGCAGCACAATGAAGGTTAGGAAATCAGGACTTTGAAGAAGTGTGATTTAAAGTTAAGAAGAGTTTTTGATGCTGTGACACACTCCTCTGTTTCACACTGATTTATAAAGTTCATTTGCTGATTGTTATAACTGGAGCTTGAAAGAGTATGACTGCATAAAACAGGATCTTGACTGCTCAACATTCATGCCCATAGATACTGAGAGAAATAGGGTCTCTTGGAAAAGAGACGACTAAGGGACGATATGATAGAGGTCTATAAAATCATGACTAGTGAAAAAAGTGAACTAAGAAGAATTATTTACTCCGTTCCATAACACATGTACTAGGGGTCACCAAATGAAATTAATAGGCAGCAGCTCGGAGTGGCAGGGAGCTCCTCTGGCTGATGGCCCCACCCCCTGGAGACTACAGAATAGTCGAGTAACCTATAAGAATTCATGAGGTTAATTGACTATTCAATTAACCAATATTTATCATCCCTATCTCGATGTCCAGTAGTTACAGCAGGGGATTGAGTCAGGACTGTTGTGTTACATTCCTGTCACTGCCATTCTATGCACAATTTTGAGCAAATAATGTACACACCTCAATGGCTAAATGGAGATAGGTGAAGACCTTTCTACTTTGGGCTCAACAAAACAAATGAGGTACTGTTTATTGAACATCCAATATATAGAAGACAGTTCTGCTTTGCCAGAGTCTTAAGTTGTCCAAAAAAAAAAGAGTAATCATACAAGCGCCTTTAACAGAGGAGGTCAGTACTGCCTCCCCTTCCCAGTCTGATGCCAGCCTAATAATGTAATAAACTTAACGCTAGACAAAGCTGCCAAATTCAGTAAGAGCAATAAGAGCTCAGTACAAGTTAAACCTCTCCAGTCTGGCACTCTCAGGACCTGACTGGTGCTGCAGTAGACAATTTGCTGAACCATGGGAGGTCAATATTGTCTTGCAGCATTACCAACACTTTCATTGCTTAGTGGGCTGTTAAAGAACATTTAGAGTAAATTAGAGAAAACAACAGCACAGAACACTGAGAGCTAGGCCTGGTGGCTGTAAAAAAACTTTATGGGACCAAGGGAAACTTGCCCATACCCATGAGAAGTGGAAATGATCTTATTTATAAATGATCTGTAGAAAGGGGTAAATAGTGAGGTGCCCAAATTTGCCCAAATTTGATACCAAACTGGTCAAGATATTTAAGACCAAAGCAGACTGTGAAGAGCTTCAAAAAGATCTCATCAAACTAAGTGACTGGGCAACAAAATGGCAAAAAAAATGTAATGTTGATAAATGTAAAAGTATGCACATTGGAAGAAATAATCCCAACTATGTGTATGATATATATAATGGGGACTAATTTAGCTACAACTACTCAGGAGAGAGATCTTTGGAGTCATTGTGGATAGTTCTCTGAAAACATCCACTCAGTGTGCAGCGGCAGTCAAAAAAGCAAATAGAATATTAGGAATCATTAAAAAAGGGATAGAGAATAAGACAGAAAAAATCTTAATGCCTCTATATAAAACCATGGTACGCCCACATCTTGAATCCTGTGTACAGATGTGGTCACCTCATCTCAAAAAAGATATATTGGCATTGGAAAAGGTTCAGAAAAGGGCAACAAAAATGATTAGGGATTTGGAACGGGTTCCATATGAAGAAAGATTAAAAAGACTGGGACTTTCCAGTTTAGAAAAGAGGCGACTAGGGAGGTATATGATAGAGGTCTATAAAGTCATGACTGGTGTGGAAGAATTGAATAAGGAAAAGTTATTTGCTTATTCCTACAATATATGGGGTCACTAAATGAAATTAAAGGGCAGCAGGTTTAAAACAAACAGGTTTAAAACAAACCTTGCCAGAGGATGTGGTGAAGGCTAGAATCTTAACAGAGTTCAAGGAAGAACTAGATATATTCATGGAGGTTAGGTCCATAAATGGCTATTAGGATGGATAGCAATGGTGTCCCTAGCCTCTGTTTCTCTGGAGGTAGGTGATGGGAGGGATCACGTGATGGTTACCTGTTGTGTTTCTTCCCTCTGGGGCATCTGGTATTGGCCACTGTTGGCAGATAGGATACTGGGCTGGATGGACCCTTGGTCTGACCCAGGATGGCCGTTCTTATGTTGAAATCTAGCTAACTAAAATCATGCCGGACTACAGCTGTTTCTGGACCAGAGTGTGCTGGACTAGAGAGGTTCAACCTGTAGTAGTTTTGGTTTTTTGTGCATGGCTGGGACTATACATACCCTTTATGTTTTATACACACAATTTTGGTAATGGAAAACTTTTTAAGAATGATAATGGAAAACGAATATAAAAGAATAAGTGCTGGTGCTGAAGATGTACATATAGAAGAACTGGGCAGTAGTACCTGTCACTTGATTATTTAACTACTCAAAAGTTTAGCTCTACATTATTGATAGCACGATAGTAACTTGGGCCCTGACTCATCATGTTAGGAACTGGGCAAAGACAGTAAAAGACAGCTCCCGCCCCCAAAGAGTTTATAATTAAAGTTTCTGTAAATGGATGCACCAAGCAAGAGGATGCTGAGGAGGTAGAGAATGAGGTGATGGAAAAACGAGTATGTGTTAAGGCTAGGTCTACACTGGCAGAGAAAATTGATGCAAGATATGCAACTCCGGCTATGTCAACTGTGAAGCTGGAGTCGACATCCCTTGCACTGATTTTCTGGTGCAGCCCCAAGGTGGGAGGTTAATGGAGAAATTCTCCTGCCAACTTCCTTTTCTCCAAGTACTAGCACCTATGGGGGGGGGCAACCTCAGCATTTGATTTAGTGGGTTTGATTTAGTGGGTTTATTTGACCCAGCAATCCTCCGGTAAGTGGAGACATGGCCTTAGCAAAATGAACATTAGTTATAGTTCATTTTTTGCCTGTTTTAAGCAAATAGCATCTTGTAGAAATTTTAGAAGAGTTGCGTAGGGATCTGAGGGTACGTCTACACTTGCTCCCTAGTTCAAACTAGGGATGCAAATGTAGGTGACCGAAATTGCAAATGAAGAGAGGATTTAAATATCCCACGCTTCATTAGCATGATTTCGCTGGCGTGTTACTCCGCTCAACAGCTGTTTCAAAAGTGAAAGTGCGTGCCAGGACACGTTAGTTTGAACCAAACCCCTTGGTTCAAACTAATGTTACTCCTCATTTTTACTCTGGCGCATACTTTCACTTTCGAAACGCTAGATCATGCTAATGAAGAGATCATGCGAATATTTAAATCCCCACTTCATTAACAATTTTGGTCGCCTATATTTGCATCCTTAGTTTGAATTAGGGAGAAAGTGTAGACATACCCTGAGGGATTAAAGAAAAGATATTATATCCATTCTACGAGAACTAAATTTTCAGCATGGGCCAAACATTTTGCAATCCGATCACATGCAGAACTCGCATTCTCTTCACTAAGAATTACTCACTTTGTGGAATGCAGGATCAGTCTCTACAGCTGGAACAATTATTATAATTTTGGGGCTTGGATTACTACAACTGGAGGTGGAGGAGAAGCGAGAGAGGACCTTCAGATTAAAGCATAAATGAAAATTTTGTCATTTAAAACTCAAACTTTGATCTCCTCTGCATCAGATGAATACATTATTGCTAAACTACTCACCAACACTGCTTGTCTTATTTAATATTTAATTTACAAGGTTGACAATTATTGAAAAAATTATCAACTGAAAAAATCGGCTTCATATTTTTCATGTTTTTCTTTTTAGATATTTGTTACTACTCGACTAAGTTAAAAAAAACCCAACACAGCTGGAGGACAGATAAAAAACTACTTACAGACGCCAGCAGGGGCTGCCTGAACCCTACAGAATAATTCTCATTACAGTCCAGTGAGAATAATTGACAAAATCTTATTTTTTAATAGTCTCACTTAATTGTATCAGAGAGCAAACTGTGTTGTGCAGGGTGGATTACATTTAAATTAAATTGATTTAAATTATGATTTAAATAACTAACCAGGAAGACTTGATTTAATCGTGGTTTTCTACATAAAAGTGCATTCTTGTTGGTTGTCAAACTTTATCCATATTTTCTCTATAACTCAGAGATAAATTTAGGTTTCATCTTTAGGAGGTACACTATACATTTTTAAGTAGTGATTTATTTTGAAAACTTTTCAGATTAGTTGTACAGCAATATCAGAAAATGAATGATTGTTTGATTATTTCATTTACCAAAGGTAATTGAAGCAGATATTTATAAAGTCATTCGGAAGTGAACTATTTCCAATTCAAAAGGTTAAGCATTAATATTTGGAGGATTTTTTTTGCCATGCTGCATTAGGAAGAGAACATCATCAGACAGACATTTGAATTGCTTTGTTTAACTAACATAACATTATCTATTCTGGATTATTTTCTTAAACAGCAAATCTCTCTCTTTCTCTTTTATATATATAAAAAGTTTCCTACGAGACAACAGAGTGATGTCATCATGTCACAGTGTCCACAGGCTTAGGGGACACGGGGGGGGGGAGGGTGTCGGCAGATAAAGCCCGGTCCTCAGCCCTGCTCCTTCTGCCCGAGACCCCGTCCCTGGTACTAATCCTCACTCAGCCCAGCCCTCTCTGGCAGCCTCATGGAGACCCAGGGATGGCATGCCATGGCCTCAACCTTTCCCGGGGGCAGAGCCGGGGCTGGAGGGGGACAAGGGGTAGGGTTAGGCCTTGGTGGGGGGAAGGGGTGGGGAGAAAGAGCTGGGGCTGCCACGGCCACAGCCCTCTCTGGTGGCCAGGGGAAGAGCCAGGGTTGCCTACCCACAGAGAGAGGATGGGGTGGCGAGCACAGAGAGCGGCGGGGGGGCACAACACCCTTGTAATATTTTAGCAAAACAAGCATTTTTTAAAATGTAATTAAACATTCAAGTTTTTTTAATCAAGTTTATTTCTGTTAAAATAGTTTCCAACTAAAATGGTCATATGAAATTATTTAAAAAAAGAAAATTAAATGGACTATGCCAGGTAGGTCAACATGAGAAACGTAAAATATTGTCTTCTATTCATTAAACTTTTTGCAACTTTGCACTTTTAAAGAGGGATAAGGGATTGACTCTCTACACAAATCTGTAGAGGGACAATAAGATTGAGGTCTATTATTTCTCACCTTTCTATATATTTACTTATTTAAAAACATATTTGCCGTTAACAAGCATGCTCGCTCTGGAGACACAAGTGGACTATTATATACCTTACACTCTGTCACATTTACTCTTTGGTAAGTTCTAAGATAAGTTTCTTTTTTAAATTCATTCTGCTAGCACCAAAATACAGGGGAAACCCCTGGCCTCACTGGCTGCAGGGGAGCCCTGTCAGGGTGGCAGCTGGGAAGCTGGGGCCAGGAAGCAGCAGCAGGGAGCCCTGGCCAGATGGAAAGGTACAATCCCAGTGGCAGGGAGGGCCAGCAGTTGGGAGCCCTACCAGATGGAGTGGAGCCGGCAGGGGAGCTTTGACTTCCACAGTCTATCAAACTCCCTGGGTTCCAAGGGTGCTGGACCAGAGAGGTCCAACTCGTACAATGTAACAACTGCAAATTTATCACAGGTCAGTCAAAGTTATTTGTCAGTTATTACAGACTTAGTTTGTAGAATTCTGTGTGGGAAGTAGGAAACTCTGATGACAATTTAGCAGATGGCATCTGTTCCTCCCTATTTCGGAGTTATGGGAGATGTGCTATTGCCAGTGTTGTCATTTGGACAAGAAACAAAATAAAAAAAGTTTCCTGACCATAAACAACCTACGAGTATCCATAGACAACTTTTTTCCCCCAAGAGTGAAGTGTTAACTCTATTGTCTTGGACGAATTCCTAACTCAGAAAATTAGAATCTGTCTAAAATCCCTGCTGTAATTTTACTTGTTCACATTTTTCTTGATATCTGCCTGATGCACAATAACCTCTGAAATTTCACTACAGAAATGGCTGCATTTCAATGGTGGAAGAAGTGATCCTTACATCTAAGGTTGGAAAAGCACTTTCAGACCATTCTTGATGAAACAGCTTTATAAATGTTAGATATTATAAGAGAGCACTCACCCCCATAAAGTGCATTCACAGTCATTTATGAAGTATTTCATGAAGAAAGCTACAAAGCAGAGTCTAATAGAAGCTGTTCCTATAACATCCTTAATAAAAAAGTTATTTCTCTCCATTTTTAACTTATCTGTGCCATACTAGGCATGCTTGTAATTTGATATTTTTCTAGTTAAGTGTTGACAGTCCCTTGACTTTTGTCTATAAAGGGAATTCTATTAATTTATGTTCTGAGGTTTAGTTCCTCTTTGACTCTCACACTTATTCCAACTTTCAGCTTTAGCACCCAAAGGATTCCCTTATAATGGAGGCCCGTGGAAATGATTAACTAGTAGAAGTATGGCTTTATTTATTCCCACCAAGTTAGCACATTGAAAACTCTATTTTCTTCTCAAGAGGCAATTGCAATGAAAAGTGTCTCTCTAGTCTCTGTCTTGACCCAGAAAAGAGAAAGCAGAAATTTCAGCTCCAATACAACAGTTTCAAGTAGGCGAGAAATATTATACAACTCAAACACATTATTTTCCTACGCTATTGAACCACTATTTCAATCTCAGCGACTCATATATAGTTTGTTTTGAAACAGCAATTTTATTGTATCCATGGAAAATGGAATTTTACCAAATTAAGTCTAGAATGATACACACCACAAGCTGACTACCACTTCGCTAGACAAGACTACTGACCACTGAAAAACAGCAACAACAAAAACCCCATTAAAAATAATTCTGTGTATTTGAAAAACAGCTTCTAGGAAAACTTGTATGCAAAATTCTGAGTAGTCTTTTAACTTTCATCAAACATTTTTCTCACACTTGAAAACAAGAGGCATGCCCCAGCAATTACTTTTTATTAGCCTATAAGAAGGATTAACTTACTGGATTTTGTCAAAACACTGTAAAGTTCACAGGACCGGTTTGGGGTAGAAAAACAGGATTATGGTGGGAGTGTTCAAGAAAGACTCATTGAAAGGTGAGCTACAAATATTTGAAGTGATTTTCATGCTGAAAGAGAATTTCAAACATAACTAAAACCTGGATTCAGTTTCCTTTCACATGTTTTAATGAGGCTTCCATCTGTCACTCACTAGTTTAAAAAAATTATTTAAGCTACACAGGCAAAATGCCACCATTTATATCCAACCTTCTGAGCTTTACAACTCCCTTGACTTTGGAGGGAAGAATTAAATGGGACCAAGACTTGCATTAACTGTGGTTTTTCTTTTCAGAACCATAACTTACTAGAGGTTTTACAAAATTAAAAACGTGCAAATTTAGATTTTACTTGAGATTGTGAAGGAACAAAGCCAGAAATATTGATCATTCAAACTTCCCTTTAAAATTTGGATTTTAGATAAAAATGGGACCTGGTAAAGTTACATAAACCCTGCCACATGGCTAGACTTGCCTCCAATTCATTTCAACAGTAATTTGAGTATAGAAAAATCTTTTCCTGCTGGCAAAACTGAGGATTATGACTACACTACCTATCAAGCAAACCATCTAGGAAGCAAAGGAGTCTGCTTTTATTCACACAATATCATTTTCAATAGCAGCTGGATAAAATGATGCTCTCTTAAAGTTTAACCCAGTTTAAAAGAAAAGCTGAAATCTACCTCTCGTTGCACAAATCCCATAATTGGACTTTGTACAGAAAAAAATCACAACTCTGGGTTTAGGCAAGTGGGTCTATAAACTGAAATAGTGGCTGCTGTCCCTCTTTCCTGATTCCAGGTATTTTGATAACTGGGTCAGTGCAACTGCAGATACAAAAGACTCTCCCCACAGTAGCTTAATTGGGTTCAGGAAAGACCTGCACTGGTCAGGGACAAGAGGCTCCTTGAATATCACCTTCACATGTCCTTTTTTCTCAATGTGATGGTGAAAATCGTTACTTCGTTGGGCAGCGGATACTACCGCCTTCTGCAAGCAAGCTGTAATTTTAAAATCACAAACTAATGTATTTCTAAAGCAAACGAATAAAAACAACATGGGATCTGAAACTCAGTTAGAAATTCAGGACTCTCTCTCATTGTAGGGATTTAATAGTGTAGTCGATTAACCAATAAGCAAAAGCTTATAGGTTAATGCTATAGACAACATGCATTCCCCCCCTCCCTCCCGGCCAGTAAATTTTTTAGCAGGCTGGTCAGCAGCCTGGCCCAGTCCTGGCTTGCACCGGGTCTGGAACCTAACCCTGCTCAAGCTCTACATTTAAAGTGCACTAGGAGCCAGGTAGGTGGGCAGCCCAGCTCAGTTCCAGCTCATGCTGAGTCCGGGAGCTCAGATCTGTATTAGAGGCAGCAGCACAGGTGACAGGCAGCTGGTCTTTGAGGGGAGCTGGTTTTTAAACTGGCTCTCCTCACGAACCTGCTCCCACCTGGCACCCTACTGCTGCCTCTGATACAGAGACAGCAGCGCAGAGTGGCAGGGGATTCCTCAGGCGTGAGACTGGAATGCACTGGCTGCCAGTTGCGCCCCCCAGGGAACTACAGAATAGTCGAGTAACCAATAAAAATAAGGCAGTGGGAAAATGAGCCTCTGAACTTTTTCTTTATACTTCCTATCTTACACCATCGTGAACTTGAGGGAGAAAAACAAGTTTTTACATAGGAAGTAAAACGTAACTGTGCAGATCAAATGGAGAAGGGAGGGACGAAAAAGAGGCAAAGCTAATTACACTCGATGTGCATGTAAAAAAATAAAATGTGAACAAATATTTGAGCTAACCTTCTCAGAAAAAATTAGGACTATGTATTTTCCTGTTATTTTGTATTTGTCATGTGAAGAACAAAATTACTGTTTATCTAAGTTGTAGTTACACATTACCACCACCTGCCATTAATCCTCCTTTCTGCAGTAATACCAGTGAGCAGTACAATATTCTGATATTGGAGACAGAACAGCTGCGTTCCAATTTCAAAGGCAACAAAGTACAGAGCAGCTCAGTTGCACAAAGAACTGGAGCTCTGAGGTTTTGGACAGCCTGCATGATGTTGCTTTCAGGGGCATTATCTTTCTCAATTTTCTGCTTAGTTATGTTCTTAAATAGGCCTTGAGCTATTGTGACTCCATTTTGTACATCATCTGTTTTCTTGAATATTGGATCACCATGTAGAATGGCTACATCGCAGTGATTGCATGGTGGTGCAGAGTTTACTTCAAAAATATTGCAGGTATACAAATTTGCCCTGCCAAAATATCCAATTCCTGAGCTGTGATGTGCAAGAAGCCAATAACAGTTACGGTGCCAGTGACCAAGGATGAAGACAGCATGGAACATGTCTGTCTGGGGTATATGCCTGTGTGCAGTAAAACTGTACTGTGCTTGGCTGACAGCACCTAAAACTGTTCTCTCCTATTTTACAATCTTTTTACTTCTTTCTATTTTTAATTTTTACCGTCTTCCCTCTGGTCTGGGTGTTGTCACTCTTTTCCTTATTTAGCCTTGTGCTGTGAATGACTAATGGCTCTGCCTCACTAGGTGTTTATCTGTAGTAATGCAGGACCCCTCCATTATTAATGGTATGCTGTGAGGTATGAAACTAGGAATATCCGCATTTTACATAAGGGGGGGACTGAGGCATAGGGAGATTGACTTTCTCTGGGTCACATAGGAAGACTGTGGGAAAACCAGGAGCTGAAGCCAGATCTGCTTAATCCCAGTTCACTGTCCTTCCCCCCCACTTGATGATCTTCTCTTTGAAAGTATTTTTGCAGTGAAAACAGTATGTGTGATATTATATAAAAGAAAAATGGACAACAGTAATGCTTGTGACTCTTCCATCTCAGAATCTTTACCCTGCAAAGAAAAACCTCAAACCAGCTTTATTACACATCTGAATTTGCTCCTCTCTCAAGGCAGTGATGGGCTGTTAGTATCTTAATAGTAAGCATTCACAAAAAGCTCAACCCTCTTAAGCCTCTGCATGAGGAATGAAAATTCCTCTGTGGAGGAACTGCAATGGAACACAGCCATTTGTTTTTCCAATTTAAACACAAATGCTCTCTCATGGCTTCACTCAGCACAACTGGCTACTCTCTTGGCAAACTTATGAAGCTGCTGGAAATGCTGACACTTTATTCCTGTCGTGAGTATATTAACAAAATAGCACAGTGCTTGACTTATCGTTCAATGGTGGCATCAGAGTGGAATTCCCTCTAGGCAAGGGTTGTTTAGCAGCAAAGAAAGAAGGTTTGATTCCCTTAGGGCTTAACTCCTTTCAATTTTCTAGTGACAGAGCCCCCTAGGAGCACATTCTGTCTCATCATCATTCCACCCAGCCGTGTCCTAAGGATAGAGATGAGATTGAGTCCAGAGATTTGCACAGCCCTACCTGAGTTTTCCTCTTTTCCCTTGGGGTGTGAGCGTAAGAGGACTGATATTGGGATTCTAATAGTATTGCTGCTCATGAGTCTGAAAATCAAACCACATTCACATGCTCAACTTTATCTGTTCACCCATAGCTAACCATCCCTCAGCTCTCTGCCTCTGCCCAACAATGAAGCAAAACAGGCTCTGCTACTGCATAAAAATGTGTTCGCTGCACTTCTATGAACCACACATCTGAGTTGATACTGGCTACAGAAAGTAATTAAAATGGGGGGGGGGGGGGAGGAGGGTGGATGGAAGGAGGCAAGGTTAGTACCATTAACAAAACTGGCAGGTGAACCATAAAAACTTCTGAGCATCTATTTATCCCCCACAACCTTTACAAGATTATGGTGAGGCTCTGTCTGTATGTTAACATCACAAGCAGATAATAGCTTTGTATTGCAGGCCCTACTCTCTTTAACCAGAGCAAAGTTTGTGGAAATTTTGCTCTGATTAGTTTTTAAGATGCCAATAAGCCTCCATTTGCATGGAGTGATGTTTGAGTATTGTGGATTTACTCATCAGCCCAAAGGATGATATAAGTTGTCAGTCCCAATTGTTTTTTCTAGTAGGAAAAGATTTAGCTCTTTTTGACATGAAACGGACCCCAAACCTCCATGTTAGTTATTGTGCTCCCCAAACCTAAGACTAAAATATTCACTTCTTTGTACCAGAAGTTGATTTATTCCCCTCCATGCTCTTGTAAGGCATGTCATCCACATTTTACTGAGGAAAACTTAAACTCAGTGATGTTTACTGTGCAATGCTATGAAATAAATCAGTAGAAAAGTCAGAACGAGATTTATCTTAAATACTACCCTCATATATCTTTCATCTACAAGCTACTGATCACAATATCACAAAGGAAACTGTATCTTGATCTAGAATTACTAATCTACCCATGAATTAAGGGCTGGAGAGAAGGCTCTTACTGTCCTTCTAGTACAAGTCAGGGGCCATAAGGTGTCACGTTTTACTCTTAAAATATGGTTGCAAAACACCCTGTACCACACCACTAACTGCATGTCTTTTCATTCTCTCAAAATTAATTAGTGATCCCATGTTCCAAAACCTATAGCAGGGATCCAACTTTTCTACATTCACCCGGAATATACAGGATATATACTACAACCCCCACTCCCAATCCTAAAATCTTCAAATTCCCTGATTTTGAGAAGTTGTGTTTTCACCTATGACCCAGTTTCCTCATTTGGAAAATATTCAGTGTTATAATAGCTACAATGCAGTCACACATTATCATCTAGCTAAAAGACTTGTTTGTAGGATTTTTTGTTTTCTGACTTGTGTCATATAATATACAGTCCTGGAATGTGGAAGCTCAGCTTTTAAATTTTTCCTACCACTGTGGCTAAGTAGTGACCATTTCTCAACACCATCCAGCTGACAAGCAGCTTTTCTTCCAAAGGAGATTTTCCTCTGCAAAGTGGATTTTTTTCCACAAAGGAAACCATCCTACTCAAGTGACATCAGTGAGAGATTCTCTGACATGGTCTGTTTTGACAAGTGAGAGAGGTTAAACCTCTTACTTAAACCCAGCTCCTAATCATCAGCACCTTCACCACCCCAATAGCTAAGCACACAAAAATTACATTATAGCACATCAGAGAATTGTTTAGACCATAAGAATGTGTAGTGGTAATGGGAATGTTTGTTTCAAAATCTCAGTAGTAATGTATTTTTGTCTTTTTCTGCTCTGGCAGATTAATGAATGCTTTGGCTGCATTTCCAGTTTTATCGCCTGCATTATCTTTCAAGGTTGCTGAATCTGTCTCTTCTAACTCTATAATAACTTGTACAATTGGTCTTAAAATCTTGTCAGGGCCCTCAGGGTTTTTTCCATCTAATAAGCACCAGTAAAATATAAAACGAATGACTGTTTTCCACAAATTCTGAATGGGCTCATTTTCTCTGGGAATGCAGACTAAATATAGACATTACAACCCACATCTGTAAACTGGTATTTACATCAGAACAAACACACCTTAGCATATCTGCTATATTTAAGGCTCTGTTCTGGAGCTGAATTCAATGACCCAGAACCCTCATTACAAGGGCTCTATCCCTCACCATCCCAATATTTAAGCACACCAAAACAAAACAAAAACAACCACAAAATTGTTTCTATACCATATCTAACTATTAATTAGCACTTAACTATTTGATGGGATTTGTGGGACCAGGTTTGAAAATTTGGGACAACAACTTGAGTGAATCTCTCAGGAGGGAAAAAGCAAATATTATTCTGTGCCTTTATAGAGGGGAATTATACTTCAATACATTCCTCTTTCTAGAACATCTAATGTGATTTCTACATAGCAAGTGAAGTTTGTGGCATTCTGCTTACTCTGGGAGGTATGGCTTGCAGAGCTGTGATATAGTTCTCCAGAGCAATGCGGCGGCGGTCATTCAGCATGGCTTCCACTCTGGCCATGTGAGTTTCCACTAGCTGCTGTCTCTCATTTGCTGCTTCTTGCTCCAGTGATTCCACTTTTTCCTGGAAATGCTGCATGTTTCATGTTAGAAAAAACAGCAAGAGAACAATGGTTATTGAACTCAGGAAATAAGGGTATGCACCTTTTTCACAGAGCATTAAAATCCTTCTCTACAATTGATGGAAGTGACCTGCCTTTTACTACAACCAACTATATCTGTAGAATTTCTGAACTTCACGGGCCTAAAATGGGAGCTGCGGGTGCTCAGCATGTCTGATCATCTGGCCATATTAACCAATCAAATATTTTTGCTGACCTTCAGCATGACAACAAAGATATCCTTCATGTGAGCCTTGGTATCCTGTTCAAAGTGCTAAGATGCACTGCAGGAAAGCATTTGATTGTAGTAGGCACCTTTCCCATAGATTCTCAGACTCATCTGACTATCATGAGTATATATATGGGGGAAAATAATTCCTCCTTCAACAGAATGAGACATCTGAATTTACTAAAACAATGATCACTTAGAAAACACAAATGACCACAAGCTGGAAAAAAGCTAAAAGACACAGAGCAAGATTGTGGGATTTAATAAATAATATTCTGATTGTGGATTTGTATTTGTCTTGTGATGCTGCACTGAAACCAACTTGGAACCAGGGAGTTTGGAGAGGGAGTTCTCCAGATAAAGGAGGAAGCTAATACAGTACCCTTAAAGGAAGTGGTGTGTCTGTTGTGTGTGTTTGTGTTTGTGTTTTTCTTGCTGTGTTCTGAGCTTGTGTTTGCTGTTTGGTTTTTTTGTTTGGTTTTTGTTTTTTTTTCCCTTCCCCCTCTTCTCCCCTCTTACAGAGTGTGTGCTGTGGCTGGCAGGTGGAAACTGTGAGCTTCTAATCAGGGTTTGAAATCTAGAAGCCTCTGCTCATTGATTGAGCCTTAATCAGGGGGAGGGGCTATCAGGTAGTCCAGGGCTTTATAAAGGAGTGAGTCAGCGATCAGGGAGCTTGCAAACAGGAGCTGTTAACAAGGAGTTTGGAGAGGGAGTTGGGAAGGGGGTGAGATACACTGGCCATTCTTTAACATCTTTTCACTACACTCCTTCCCTTCAGGGAGGCATTGAATAACAACTGAGGAATTTCTCAGAAGGAAGGCAGGTATGGATGGTGATAGCTTTGCTGTTTTACCTACACAGCATGTGCCATGTTTGTCTTCCTCCCAGAAGAAAGAAGAGATTTCATCTGCCCTAAGCGCAAGCTGGTCAGCATTTTGGAAGAAAAAATTAGAGGACTGGAGGCCCAAGTATCGACCCTACATTCCATCACAGAGGATGAACACTTCCTCGATAGAAGGCAGCGTTTAATCCTGCAGCCACAGTAGGCTGAAGAGCCAATCAGGGCAGTACAGGACAAGGAAGAAAACTGGAAGCATGTAACCTCTAGAAGGAGAAGGCGGCCAACTCAGATATCCCCCATTCCTGTAGAGGTAAGCAACAGCTTTCAGGCTCTCACCACAGGCACTATGGTGGAGAATGCTTTGGCAGGGACCTCTCAAGGAAGAAATCAGAAGGGAACACCATCTACCGGAAGGCATGGGATGTGCAGTCCTAGGGACGGGGGTTCCACAACCACCACCCCCACCCCCAAAAGAAGACAGGTGGTAGTCGTCGGAGACTCCCTCCTAAGAGGGACTGATTCATCCATCTGCCATCCAGACCTGCAATCTCGAGAAGTGTGCTGCTTACCGGGAGCTCGCATTCAGGATGTGACCGAGAGTCTTCTGAAAGTGATTAAACCTTCGGATCGCTACCCCTTCCTGCTTCTCCAAGTAGGAACTAACGATATGGCCAAGAATGACCTTGAGCGAGTCACAGCAGATTTTGTAGCACTGGGAAGAAGGATCAAGGAATTTGAAGCGCAAGTGGTATTCTCGTCCATCCTTCTGGTTGAAGGAAAAGGTCCAGGTAGGGATCATCAAATTGAGAAAGTAAATGCGTGGTTGCGCAGGTGGTGTCAGAGACAGGGCTTTGGTTTCTTCGACCATGGGACTCTGTTCCGGGCACAAGGATTGTTAGGAAGAGATTGGATACACCTAACCAAGAGAGGAAAGAGCATCTTTGTGGGCAGGTTTGCAAACCTAGTGAGGAGGGCTTTAAACTAGGTTTGTTGGGGGATGGTGACCAAAGCCCTGAGGTAAGTGAGGAAGTCAGACACCAGGAAGAATCACAAGGAGAAACAAGCAACAAAGAAGGACCCCTGATTCAGATGAAGAAGGCAGGGTGATCAACTAGTTATCTAAGGTGTTTGTACACCAAAGCAAGAAGCCTGGGAAACAAACAGGAAGAATTAGAAGCCCTGACCCAGTTAAAGAACTATGATTTGATTGGAATAAGGGAGAGTTGGTGGGATGACATGCATGACTGAAGCACTATCATGGAAGAGTATAAACTGTTCAGGAAGAACAGGCAGGGGAGAAAAGGAGGAGTTGTATTGTATGTAAGGGAGTAGTATGATTGCTCGGAGCTCCAGTATTTACAGGGAGAAAAGACTGTTGAGAGTCTATGGGTTAAATTTAGCGGTGGAAGCAACAGGGGTGATGTTGTGGTTGGTGTCTGTTACAGACTGCCGGATCAGGTGGATGAGGCAGACGAAGCTTTCTTTGGACAACTGAGAGAAGCTCCCAGATCATAGACATTGGTTCTCATGGGCGACTTTAATCATCCTGACATCTGTTGGGAGACCAATACAGCAGTACACAGACAACCCAGACAGTTTTTGGAAAATGTTGGGGACAACTTCTTGGCACAAGTGCTGAAGGAACCGACCTGGGGCCATGCACAGCTTGACCTGCTGCTCACAAAGAGGGAGGAACTAGTAGGGGAAGTAGAGGTGGGTGACAACCTAGGAAGCAGTGATCATGAGATAGCAGATTTCAGGATCCTGACCAAAGAAAGAAAGGAGAGTAGCAAAATACACACCCTTGACTTCAAAAGAGCAGACTTTGACTCCCTCAGAGAACTAATGGGCAGAATACCCTGGGATATTTACATGAAGGGGAAAGGAGTCCAGGAGAACTGGCAGTATTTTAAAGAAGCCTTATTAAAAGTGCAGGAAGAAACCATCCCGATGCACAGCAAGAAAAGCAAATATGGTAGGTGACCAGATTGGCTTACCGGGACATCCATGGTGAGCTTAAACACAAAAAGAAAGCTTACAAGAAGTGGAAACTTGGTCTGATGACTAGGGAGGAGTATAAATATATTGCTCAAGAATGCAGGGGAGTTATCAGGAAGGCGAAAGCACAATTGGAATTGCAACTGGCAAGGGATGTGAAGGGTAACAAGAAAGGTTTCTACAGGCATGTTAGCAATAAGAGGGTGATCAGAGAAGGTGTGGGGCCCTTACTGGATGAGGGACGTAACCTAATGACAGATGATGTGGGAAAAGCTGAAGTACTCAATGCTTTCTTTGCCTCTGTCTTCACGGACAAGGTTAGCTCCCAGACAAATGCACTAGGCAACGCAGTATGGGAAGGAGGTGGACAGCCCTTGGTGGGGAAAGAAAAAGTTAGGAATTATTTAGAAAAGCTAAACATACACAAATCCATGGGCCTGGATTTAACGCATCCGAGGGTACTGAGGGAGTTGGCAAATGTCATTAAGGAGCCTTTGGCCATTATCTTTGAAAACTCGTGGAGATCGGGAGAGATCCCGGATGATTGGAAAAAGGCAAATGTAGTGCCCATCTTTAAAAAAGGGAAGAAGGACAATCCAGGGAACTAGACCAGTCAGCCTTACCTCAGCCCCTGGAAAAATCATGTAGGGGATCCTCAAGGAATTCATTTTGAAGCACTTGGAAGAGGGGAAAGTGATCAGGAATAGTCAACATGGATTCACGAAGGGCAAGTCATGCCTAACCAATCTGATTAGCTTCTATGATGAGGTAACTGGCTCTGTGGATATGGGAAAATCAGTGGATGTGATGTACCTTGACTTTAGCAAAGCTTTTGATACAGTCTCCCACAATATTCTTGCCAGAAAGTTAAGGGAGTATGGATTGGATAAATGGACTGTAAGATGGACAGAAGTGGCTAGACTGCTGGGCCCAACGGGTAGAAATCAATGGCTCGATGTCAGGTTGGCAGTCTGTTTCTAGCGGAGAGCCTCAAGGATCAGTACTTGGACCAGTTTTGTTCAACATCTTTATTAATGACCTGGATGAGGGGATGGATTGCACCCTCAGCAAGTTTGCAGATGACACTAAGCTAGAGGGGTAGGTAGATACACTGGAGGGCAGGGATAGGGTCCAGAGTGACCTGGACAGATTAGAGGATTGGGCCAAAAGAAATCTGATGAGGTTCAACAAGGAAAAGTGCAGAGTCCTGCACTTGGGGCGGAAGAATCACAAACATTGTTACAGGCTGGGGACCAAATGGCTAAGACGCAGTGTGCAGAAAAGTACCTGGGGATTACAGTGGATGAGAAGCTGGATATGAGTCAACAGTGTGCCCTTGTAGCCAAGAAGGCTAATGGCATACTAGGGTGCATTAGGAGGAGCATTGCCAGCAGATCCAGAGAAGTGATTATTCCCCTTTATTCGGCTTTGGTGATGCCACATCTGGAATAGTGTGTCCAGTTCTGGGCCCTCCTCTATAGAAAGGATGTGGATGCATTGGAGAGGGTCCAGTGGAGAGCGAACAAAATGATTAAGGGGCTAGAGCACATGACCTACGAGGAGAGACTGAGGGATTTGGGTTTATTTAGTCTGCAAAAGAGAAGAGTGAGGGGGGATTTGACAGCAGCCTTCAACTTCCTGAAGAGAGGTTCCAAAGAGGATGGAGAAAGGCTGTTCTCAGTAGTAACGGATAGCAGAACAAAGAGCAATGGTTTCAAGTTACAGTGGAGAGGTCTAGGTTGGATATTAGCAAAAACTATTTCACTAGGAGAGTGGTGAAGCACTGGAATGAGTTACCTAGGGAAGTCATGGAATCTCCATCCCTAGAGGTTTTTAAGTCTCGGCTTGACAAAGCTCTGACTGGGTTGATTTAGCTGAGATTGGTCCTGCTTTGGGCAGGGGGCTGGATTTGATGATCTTCTGAGGTCTCTTCCAGCTCTATGTTTCTATGAAGTATATGAATGCCTTCCATATTAATCAAAATAGCTCAGTGGACTCAAAGGAGTCTTTGGATTACAGGCAGCTCTACTTGGGCTAGATCCATGGAAGACTACCAGTTCTGCAGTCATGCTTAATTGGCCAAATAGCCATTGTGGCTAGTGGGTAACCTATTGGACAACAAGGGGATAGATTCTTGTGAGTGGTTGGTTTGCTTTTTGGATGTGTATGGAAGGGGAATTTTTTCCTTTTTAATCTGTTAGCGTATTCAGATACATTTGGTGAACTTTCCATTACAGGCCCTCTGAACTTTCCAAATATTTCAGAAGGAAAAACAGATCATTTCCCCTTTAGCCGAAGGTTTGTATTTAGTGGGGTTGGCTCCTATTCTCACCTCCCAAAATTTGTTTGCCCATTTCTACTTACAACCAAGACACTCATGCAATAACAAAAGTTTATACTGTTACAATTCTGGTGTAACCAATCACTAAAGCTGAGATGGACAAAGAGGCCTAAGATAGGGGCTCCCAACCTTTTTGAGTATATGGGCCCCTTTTCATTCTATTAAAATTTTTATAAACCCTCTAAACAATATAGCTATTTTCAAACATTCTATTTACTTGATAATCATTTGAAACTGGTAACAGTCCATGTGATCTAAAAACAAATATAGCAGTATTGAGAGATAATACCCTGTACTTTTAATAAGATGGCTGGTGCTGTAGAATGGATGACAGTATCTATTTTAAACTTTCTGTGGACCCCCTACAATACTGTTGGGGACCACAGACCACCGATTGGGAACCACTGGCCTAAGGGAATGGGGGTTCCCAGCTCCTTCTGAAGATAAAT